GCATCGTCAACTCTCACCCAATCACGCCCTGCCGCGATACACCCTCGCTGGCCTCTCGTCTCCACACGCTTGCATCCTCACATGTCTCTCACTCTTCATTCATTCTCAGTCTCGTTCTCAAGCTGTCAGCCACTTCTTCAGTCTTCTCTTCAATTTAGCAACATCTCACACAACGTTCTCCAGCGTCACATCTCACCTCTTGCATTCCGCAACCAAGACTCAGCTGACAATCTATCTACCCATCTACACTACCATTCAACTTCCCGCCCTCTGCCTTGCTTGCGCTTGCCTTACCGTGGCCCGTGACATGATGTGACACTCTGCGTATCTCCAGCAAAAGTCGGACCGCCCACTCTTCTCCATCTCGAAAATAGAACGTTTGAACACCGGTCATGTTATCCACACACGTACAAACCATCACCACCCACCACAACACCAACAACCCCCCGGGACAGGCCGCCCGGTGAACTTTCCGTTCCGTCTCATCTTCTCAACTCAGCTCCCGCCGCCGCCGCCGCCACTTGCCTCGCCTGTCACAAGAGATGGTCCCAGGCCGCCGCGTTGACTTGAGCACTTGAGCTGACTCTCCGGGCCTCCATCAGGTGAGCAAAAGGCATAATGAGTGTTCCTGGGCCTTCAAGGTTGATCAACGACACACATGCCCACCCTGCAGTATCCGCTCTACCCCTCTAATACTTTCCCCTACAATTCGAGTGCCCAGGAAAGCTCGACTGCTCTCACTTATGCGCTCCGGAATCTATGTGTTTCTGATCCCCACAGCACTAAGAGAAAAAAGGGAAAATATCCAACTGCCGCCCACAACGCTTTCAACGGCGTCCCTGCTACGTAGATATGTTCTCATCCAAAAGCCGTCTGATTTGCGGACTCTTTTTACACAGATATCCAGAGTGTTCAAAAGGCAGAGGCCGTAATTACTCTAGTGCCTGCGTAGACGTGTAATCATTCTCCCAGATCGAAATCCCGATCTTACCCCGGAGCTTTTTACTGAGACGCTCACCCGACCTCATGATTCAGAACTCTGCTGCTTCCGTCTCCACCCTTGCGTCTCATGGTTGGTCTCTCTCCATTTTACAAAACGTAATCACTCTCCCAACTCCGATCGATCCCATGCGGTAACCAGATCCACGCCTAAAGCGGATGTTCCTCGCCTAGTCCTGTCCGTTTGACCTTACCTAGCCCTGGCCTGACTCGTTTGCTTGAACCCATTCACTGCTTGCGTTCCTGGCAGTCCGACATAGTTAGTATGCAAGCTGACGGTATAGCTGGCCATCCTGATGACATATCTGATGCCAATAAAGATGATGGGCCCACATTAGCCTACTTCTCTACTCAGAAATGACATTGCGGAATTTTTTGAGCCTTCACAGTGCTTGGTTTTTTTTTTTGATCAGAAACGTCTCGCTCATTTCTTATTGCTCGGGCATGCAGTGTTGCTCAATTCGTATACAGTAACGCTGGTCATATGGAAGAGCAACTTAATACTCCCCCGACATCACCAACCGTGCTGAGGTCATCGGCAAGGGCAGACTCATATGGGCAATGCGAGACGCGAGGGTGCTATCAGACTCATTCATACCAAAGGTGAGTCCTTCGGCATTATCAGAAAGCCGGCACATCATATACTCAGCTTCAACGCATATTTGATATGCCTTCTCATCATAGGAACAGATGGCACCGTCTGGTTACCCTTCCGATAATACCAAATAGACCACTCTTAAGTTTGAACATTTACAAAGGAAAAGCCTTCCGACAATATCATCATCTCGAGCCTACCTCAACGAGATCCGGCCCAGCATAGCGGGGCACCTTGACGGGCCAAACCCCAATCTGCGTATACTCATCGGAATACACCACAGCCACAAGCCCATATACACCCCCTCAACTCCATCCCTCTCACCAGCCAGCAGGCGCCCATCTAGGTTGATGGGTCAGGTCAAACTGGCTGGGTGGTGGAGTCGTCTATGGTCCAACAATCAGATTACACGCCAACCAGCCTACTCGACGATAGGCTTAGCGCATACGAGTATCACGAGTTCGAGTCCCGGAATGAGCACCAGAAAATTTCCCAGCATGAGCACCAAGAGATGTAGCCCCCAGTTCGGCACTGAGGGGGTGAACTCTTTTTTTCTTTTGTCTAACTATAGTTAGTAGAAAATAAAGTATACGAAGACGTAACCACACCGGGTCAATAGGATGACAAATACCAGCTTGCGATTTCACGGTACTACGTGGTGGACGATTCTATGCTTTTAGATAGTATCGAAGGAGTCGTGTGTTGTTGTATCACGATGCCTTCATGTTTTTTTGGCATAACAAGATGACGTCAGGCAGCGCGGCGTGATATAGGGGGAAACGACATGGGCTTCCAATGGCCAATAATACCGTCATCACGTCGTCAATTCCATTTGACGCAGAGTAACGAATGTGCTACTGTCTGTGTCTGTAGAATGTAACCACTTAACCAAACCCAGACGCCAATTAGGTGTCCCGACTGCAACTCTAGCTTCATTCGAGCTCTTCCCACGCCGTGCTCTGTCGTCTGCATCGGTAGGCGATTCATCGCCGCTGACATCCAACCCGTTTCCCATAGCCTCCTAAGCACAGTATTCTTACACGTCCAATTATCATTCATTCGTTGATTTAGGCGGCGGTTGAGCCCTTCGTGCCATCAAGAACCTTTCGAAGCATGTCGTAGATAGGTGTCTACACCGGTTCACTGGCGGGTATGCCTTCGTCGGAACCTTGCAATAACTTCGCCGCGAAATCCGATACCTTATCTCGGAGGACCGAAGCCACGTTCCCTTCTGTCCAGAAGTGTCCAGCCGAAGACACCTCCTCGCCATGAAAATGCGATCCATCGACACCTTCCAAACGCTCCACCCACCCTCGCAACTTGGCTATGGGAACAAAAATGTCCCTGTCGCCGTATAATGCTAGGGTATCATTCTCTACCAGCTTGCTCTCACTCTGTTGTTTTTGATCCGCCGTGAAAGTCGGCGCCCCCTGCTCTCTCGGTTTTCCCCCGTTCCGCGAGAATAACCCTCGACCAGGTGTTGTGTGAAGGAATGACATGGCTGCTAGATGGTTGATGACTCCTTGCAGCGGAGACACGAGGAGATATGCCGGCCGGACTTGTGTCAAATTAGGAACCTCTTCCACCACAACAGAGACCTCATGGTTGGAAGGTATAGTAGCCAACTTCTCCTGCGGCACTGCCACGCCCTTATGATGATGTCTTTTCGTTTTCGCCAGTAAATCGTTGACGCCTCGCCGAATCTTATCCTCGGCGTCAAGAGAAAATGATCTTCGCGTTTCCGACATGGATCTCCGAGCTTCGTGACTCTTGCGTTGGGTATCCTCGTCTCCCCCAACCCGCATGCCGAGGTATTTCTTCCGCGGCGATATAGAGCTGGCAGCTCTAGCGCTAGCCAAGATGACGTTCTGCTGCTCCGCCAGATGTTGCGCTCGAAGACGGATGTCAGCAGCCGCGGAACCAGCTGCAGGCACCTTGAATTGCGCGAGGATATGCGCCATTGGTGGAATCTGCGTTGTCACCATAGCTCCGTATGAATAACCGCCGATGAGGAGCAGTGGATGGTATGGGGGAGGCTTCGATTGGGCGTCGGGGAGCCCTGGTGAGAGAGTCGTCGTCGGCGAGCGGGCGTTAGTCGATCCAAAGGGATCGAGGAAGTGCATGTAGTAGACCATGAAGCCAATGAATGACATGTAGTCGCTGCGTTCTGGCTTCGCCGTCCACGACGTACGGCCAGCTGATCCAGAAGCGCCCCTATTGATTGAGTATCGTGTAAGTGACAGAACAACCTCGCCGTGACAATCCCCACAAGCCCGCCAATTCTTACCTAAAATTGAAAGTCCCCACGAGGAAGCCTTGTCGCAGCAGCGTCGCGGCAACGATATCGACAACAGGGTCGTCATAGGAGCCGCCCAAGGGCGCATAAGGATGCGCGATTACGGCAGCGTGTCGTCTCCATGGCGATGGATTTGATGCGGAGGGGTTCAACGCGTGGCAATGATACAAACGGCAGTCCAATACGGTATCATCGTGAAGGCTAGGGAGCGTGAAGCTCAAAGTCGGTTCGGGAAGCATTTTCTGCTCTTCATAGTGGAGACATTGCTCGGGCCGTCGATGATAATGGGGAGAGCGCGAGACGATACGTTAGGATGTCAGCTTCGTGGAGTGAAGGTGGTAGGTTTGCGAAAGCTGTGCCGAGAAAGGTCAATGGGTTCAGACCATCAAAGTCGAGTCGAGACGAGCCAGAGCTTGTGATTGCGTCCCAGCGCCCGTTAATGCGTGGTGATAGCTGAGCCCTCGAGCCTTGTATTGTTTGTATCGGAAGGATAAACGCCGACGGGGGGGTAAAATTGTAAGGGAGAAAGGAGTGTGGCCGACGTCAGCGTGGTGCTGGTGGGCATTGGATGTGGACAAGCCCCCTCGTCGGAGACAACAAGCAAGCTTCGAGGTGGCGTTGGAGCGCAGGGATTGCACTGCGCGCTAAGATCGGAACCGACGGGGTGTGTGACAGGTGCCCACCATGAGGTAATCTATGGAGAACCTACGGATGCTACGTGCCTTAGGTAAGATATCTAAGCTCACCGGTGCTCACCTTCGCTACCTTACTACCGACCGATGCCATTACAGGGTGGGATACTATTCACCGAGCATGACCACTGCCTCCATATCGATCGACAAGGATGGAAAACATGCTCTAAATTTGCCGATAGACATTTACACATCCCAATCAAGCATGTCTGGTGACAAACCCCAGCATCATCGCTAAGCTGGTATGGGAATTGGACGTTTCTTTCCAAACTTGAGGGCTCATCACCTGAGACAAAATTACTGCCACCGCCCAAGATAGTTTTGAGAGTCAGGCACGAGTTTATGATATGCGGTTACTTCGTAACTTTGTTTGCATAGGCCTCTAAATGCTCATTGTGTCATGTCAACTCATCACATTCTAAAGCTTCTTTCTAGCTTCTGCCTCGGCTCTTTCCCGTCTCCGCTTTCTCCATGCCTTGATTTCATTCAACAGGCCCATCACAAGGGGCACTCCCACCGGCCCCAAAAGCGGCAGATAGACCGCGATTTTGTGTTCATCGGGGAAGTATAGTTGTCCAACCATGCTCTTCTCGAAAAATGCTCGCTCTGCCTCGGCCTCGGCGATCCTAGCATGCTCCAACCCTTCGGGCCCACCCAGGCTGGCGCAAGCAAGCTCCAGATGATGCATGGTCTTGGCAACGCCGTCCGCAACATTGCGGGGGATGGATATGGACGGTAGCGCAAGTGACAATCTTGCCAGGGATCCTAAGGTAGAGGATGCCCGGAGCAACAGATCTGCGGATCGGATGCGTGTGAGAGTCGAGAGTCGCAGAGGAAGAGAGCCTGATTGAGGAGTGCCCAGAAGTGACAATAAGTGCCCAGCAAATGTGAGCATGGGCTGCTTGAGTGTAGCAGCCGGCACGTGTGACGTTATCGGTGGCAGCGACAGAAGATAAACAGTTCCCCACTGCGGGATGAGCCAGGACTGTGATGTTTCGGACCCCGAATCCAGTCCAATTGTTTGGTTTCCGACGAAGAGTAGGAAGTTTACCGTCGGCGCACCGCCAATGGACGGCGAAAGTGGCCATTCGGCCGCGTTGATGAAGGAGGCAAGGTCGTCCTTGTTCAAAACCTGGGACTGCGCGCCTGGTGTTGCGTACAGCTGCACCTGGGTATCTATCGTGAAGTTGTGAATGGGGCTCAGCACATCAAGCATGGGCTTCATGTATGTTTGAATCGCTGTTTCGATATCCCAGGTATTGGGGGCAGAGCCGCTGGTGAAGAGCGAGAAACTCAAGTGGTACGTCGGTGAATATCGCAAAGAACGGGTGGTCCTCTTCGCTAGTGATTCTGCTGCCTCTGGCGACATTCCTTGAGGTCTCGCATCCGAAGCTCCTGAGGCCGCCGAGAGAAGGTATGATATAATGGCTTGTTCTTCGGCATAGGTAGAGCGCAATTCGTTCGCAATGTACGAAGCTAGCGCAGAAGAGGACGACGTCGCTGACGGAATCGAATTCGGAGGGTAGGTGATGTCGAGGATAGGAGAGTGAGGGTTGAGTGAAACCGTCGTAGAGTCTCCAGGGCTGAGGCGGATCGTGAGGGCGACCTGGGAGTCATCCTCGTGAATGACGGCGTCGCTGTCTCGAGGCGCAAGCTGCAGACGGAGATGATGACCCGAGAAGTCGTTGAGATCGTCGAGCGCATGTTGAGTAAGACGAAGGAGATTCTGCGCCTCCTGCTCCTGCAGCTTGTTCGCCTGCACCGATATGCGGAGAGGGAAAACGGGACGGCAAGCCTACGTAAATAGTCAGCGAATTGTCCTCCCTCAACATGTAAAGACGCCGGCAAGCATTAGCCTACCTTTCCATCAGCCCATTGAACCATCCCGCTCAGGGGTAGGTTGGCACGGTAGATGCTCGTTGTCATCCACCATATTGGCAAGCCAAGGAGAAGAACAATGGCCCAGAAGGCAGATATGACAAAGGACCGACGGCGGGCATCGGAAGGCTTCTCGGGGGGCGGAGCCTTGCGAGACTCGGGCTGCGACGGAGGGGCGGAGGTGGTAGGTTGATCGGGGGCTAAGCTCGCACCGCTGACTGCCGGGCTGCCTGCGTCGTCGTCAACGGGCATTGGATCAGCCTTTGCCGTGTATGGCAATGTTCGGTAGAGTCTACGCAGCGGTCGTGAAGTTGAGCAATGCAAGCTGCAGTAAGTAAGCCACAATGATCATGGGATGTGGAATTCCAGCAAGGGGTATTCGCAGAGACAGGCCAGAGATGCTTGACTCAGCAACGTCGCGCTTGAGGGGAGCTTCCGATAAGATAAGAACCAAGCAGCCACGCAGCCACGTTAACCTTAACCTTAATTGCGGCGCGCAGTCACGTGGGTAATGCAATTGGAGAGTCGAATCGTAATAAACAGACATTCTGTCTAACAAGGTCAGACATCACCAGGCACCACTTTGATCTGTGTCACCGCTATGGCATCCAGCCACAACTATCCGTAATATGTACGGGACACAAGCAATGGAAGCCTTCGACCTTACGATACATATATGCTATCGGCCACGAAACGAAGCTATTCCCGGGTGCAAAGGCGTGTTCTGCCTTTGGCCGTTGCTTCATTCACCACTGTCTCTCTCTCTATCCGCACTTCGGGTGAATCTGTCACAATGCGTCCGTCGGATGCGAGTGCGATTGATGCCTGCGCCTCAGAAGCGATTATACGTTATCTTTTCTCTTAAGACAACGCTGACGTGAGACGGTGGAATGAGCGGCAACGATTCAATTCAGGGACAATTCAGGAGTCCGAGGCCCGATTTTCCACCTCTCCACCAACACGCAGAAGCGGGACCGGCATCGAATATTGTCGCCGACTCCTCCTCCGACCCAAATGTTGAGTGAGCTGACCATCAACCGAGGAAGCGACCTCAAAGGCGCCCCTCCAATCTGCCGCAACGGCTGTCGTCCATTACCACGAATCACTCGTGATGGTACAGAAGAAAGAACAATGTTACCCCATTAGGAAGGCGAACGTACTCGGAGTTTTGAAGCGAGCCTGGCGATCCCTTCATAGTGCCATAGCCAACGAATTCTTATTGCTCGGCATGCATTCCCGGTCTCCAGATGGATCCGTCGAGCCGAGTCAAGTCGGTACGGAGACACGGGCCCAGAGATAACCAGCCTGAAGCGATCTAGCAGAGCTTTTAGCTCCGGAACACCTCGCAATGGAAGAGAAACACGCGATAGACCCCTGGTGCATGGAGCCGTCGTCCATGTGAGCTGATATAAGCAAACGTCCGCCACGAGTTGCACATATATGGCGCTCCCCTCGAGTGCCTGCAGAAGGAAATGTGCCAAGAGCCGCAGAACCAAAGGGTAACACCTCGGCAACCATTGCCACTGCAGAGTTCATCGGAAACACAAACGTGCTATTCGATCTGTTGCGAGCGGTCCGTAGCTGTCGAAAGGCGGCTTGCGCCCAGAGAAAGAGAGAGAGAAAGCGAGCGGTAGGTTCGCTCCCGTCAAACCGGGTCGTCTGGACGAGAGATGCGGACAGTGGCAGGGGACCAGGGACAGGCATCTACTCCGTATGGAAGACTGGGGAGTCTGGCAGTGGGAAGCAGGAACATGGAATGCAAGGAACAACCCCGCTCGCTTGCCGACGAATCGCAACTCGCCGTTGAAGAAGCATCCATCAGAGAGTCCAGAGTCTTACTGTTTAGCCCGCATTTGCTGCCCACCCCTCCCGAATCGGTTACTCAAAACGAGTCCTGGTGCAGAGTACAGACGCGAGGGGCGCACGAGCTTCAACAGATGCCGAGGCTCAAGCTTCGATTTGTTCTTCGTTTAGCCCAGTTTGGCAAGCCAGGCCAAGCCTGGTGATGCAGCAGCAACCACAAACGCAACGCAAAGCAAAGAGCTGCACTGCGATCTGCGGCTGCTGGCTGGCCTCTCTCTCTCTCTCTCTCCGCACTCCACAGGACTGTTGCAACCTCAAGCATGCAGACGAAAGTATCCGTACCGTGATGGGCGAGCTAAGGAGGACATGATACCGCACTCGCACAGCACGGCGCGCCGAGAGAGGCCAGCAATGCCGTCCTTGGATCCATCTCCACAACCCAGCCATTGCCTGCGACGGCCAAGCACACGCAAAGCAAAGCATAGTTAGCATTACGCAGTAGAGCTGCCACCGTCGACTTACACCGAGGCCAAAGTCAACCATCCAGTCCCACAAGCGCGTGCAGCTGCAGCTACGCAGCACCACGGGCAAACACCAATGCCAACACAAGCGCCAACGTGACAGTCGTAGCTGGTCATATTCCTCGGCTGTCGAGAGGGAATGTCATGCCAGGACCTTGTTCATCATCGATTCATCGTTGATCAAGAGCTTCTCCGCCACCCCAACCCTGGTCTAGGGCCCCATAGAAGGATGTTCTCCATTGTCCCGCCCATCTGGTCGCCAAGTTGCACCTAGTCAAAGAGGCACATGGATTCCCACATCCCAACAGCCGAATGTTGAGGTCACTGCTCTTCTGGGAGTACCGCACCGAGTACGGATACTGTTTGGCGAGAAACGGAGGGGGGTGCAAAAGGTGCTGCGTCGTGTTGTGTCGTGTCGTGTTGTGCATGATAGGACCGACAGGTGGTTTTATCCCATCTTTTCCCCCCGTATGGGTCCCTCAAACCAGGGACGACACATCCCAATGCCGACTGCAACACAGGCTTTCTACTTTTTAAACCCTTTCTTATCTTGTGACAGCCTCGACAAGCCGTTACAAAAACCTATCCTCACCCACACCCTCGCGCAATTGGTTCACTACATTTTCTTGCCTTTGAAGTCTCAACTACGTTGCCTTTGCTCTCGGCCACTCCTACTTGACGAGGACTTCCAGCATACACGATCACAGCCTTAGAGCTCTCTCTCCACCAGCTACAGCTTCGGACAACACCAGTCTCTCCGAATCTCACACACCGAACCAACGACCAGGCGCACATTCAAGACATTTGGTCAGCTTCTGCCTCCCTGCCGGCCGACCTGCCTCATCTCTCCTCGAATTTCACCACGACAGTCAACCTTTGGCACGAACTACCTCTACCCGGATCTAAAATCTGGCCACTCGGCCAAAGTGACAATGCCTGGTGAGTGAGCTCTCCCTATCTTCCAAATTTTCATTCACGGCTCCCAGTCTGTCGTCATGACTATTTGGCCCTGGTTAAGACCCGCCAAGAAAGACAAAAACCTCCGCAAAGGAAGTCAACCACACACTTTCATTGCGCCGCAATTGCGCATTACATCAGCCTGCCTCGGCACAGCCATCTGCACAAAACATCGTTGGGGCCGGTTTCGCTGACTTTGTTTCGTTTCCTCGCCGTTTAGTACCGCTCGCACTCGCTCTGCCGGCTGCAGCCGCAGCTTATTCGTACATCAACGCTCGCATTTCTCTGTGGTACGACAGAAAGCTGCTCTCCTGTGCGCTACCCGCAACCCTGTCGGCTTTGTGGCGTGAGCGAACAGACCGGTTGAACCAGTTTTACATCCTCGAACAAGCGGCACAGAACAAATCATCTGCCAATCGCACGTTCATCATCTTCGAGGGCAAAACATACACCTATCGCGAAACTTACGAGCAGGTCCTGAAGTATGGCACCTGGTTGAGGGAACGCCACGGCGTCAAGCCCAAGGACATTGTCGCCATCAATTTCCAGAACTCTGACGTCTTTGTTTTCTTATGGCTCGGCCTGTGGTCCATTGGTGCAAAGCCAGCCTTCATCAACTACAATTTGACTGGCAAACCGCTAGCTCACTGCGCCAAGGCTGCGAAGACGAAGCTGATGCTGATTGATCCCAACGTTGCCGCCAACGTCACTGAAGATGTGAGGAATGAGCTGAGCACCGTGCAGTTTGTGGTGCTCGATGAGAGCTTGCACAGAGAAATCGACGCCGTGAAGCCCAGGCGTGCCCCCGACTCTGATCGGTCCGAGAGCCAGTACCAGAATCTGGCGATCCTGATTTACACATCAGGAACAACAGGTATGCCCAAGCCCGCCATTGTATCCTGGGCGAAATGCATCGTCGGTGGTGTCTTCACGTCAAGACTCACTAGCAATTCTCCCAACGACGTCTTTTACACAGTAGGTCAAACTCTCAATCCGCTATGCAACTTGAACTAACCGAAATCAAGTCTATGCCGCTGTATCACAGCTCTGCGGCCTTGCTAGGATTCGGCAACACCCTCGAGGCGGGTGGCACGATTTGTATCGGAAGGAAATTCTCGACCAAGGTTTTTTGGGAAGAGGTTCGCTCGTCCAAGGCCACCATCATCCAGTATGTCGGCGAGACCTGCAGGTACCTGCTCGCGGCCGCCTCACAAGTCGACCCCGTCACCGGCGAAAGTCTCGATAAGAAGCACAACGTGCGGGTGGCGTTCGGTAATGGTCTGCGTCCGGATGTGTGGAACAGATTCAAGGAGAGGTTCGGCATCGACACCATAGCCGAATTCTACGCTGCCACCGAAGGTTCTTTTGGAACCTGGAACTTGAGCCGAAATGACTTTGCCAAGGGCGCTGTTGGACGAAACGGCACCCTTTACAGCATGGTCATGGGCCTTGACGTTGCCCTTGCCGAGATGGATGAGAACAACGAGGAGCCTTGGAGGGACAGGAAGACGGGCCTGTGCAGACCTGCCAAGGCTGGCGAGCCAGGAGAGCTCATGTTCAGGCTCTCGCCTGACGACCTCAATCGCCGCTTCCAGGGTTATTACGGCAATCCTGACGCGACAAAGGCAAAGGTTTTGCGGAGCGTCTTCAAGAAGGGAGACGCCTGGTTCAGGACTGGCGACGTCGTCCGCTGGGACAGCGAAGGAAGGCTCTACTTCACCGATCGCATTGGTGACACATTCCGCTGGAAGAGTGAGAACGTATCAACACAAGAAGTCGGCGAGGCTGTGGGCTCACACCCATTGGTTCAAGAGGCGAACGTCTATGGCGTCGAGTTGCCCAATCACGACGGCCGCGCAGGGTGTGCCGCCGTCGTCCTCCAAGGCCAACCGTCCGAGGAGGTGCTGAGGAGTATCGCACAGCACGTGAAGCAGTCACTACCCAAGTATGCTTTGCCCATCTTCCTACGAGTCATGCCTCCCGAGGCTATGCAGACGACGGGTACAAACAAGCAACAGAAGCACGGTCTCCGATCCCAGGGTGTCAGGCCTGGCGGCACGGACGCCGCTGGCGAAGTGTACTGGTTGAAGAACAACACCTACGAGCCCTTTTCCGGGCGCGATTGGGACGAACTCAATGGCGGGCGGGTGAAGCTTTAGATTTCTTTTCTTGGGACTGTTTTACTGCTAGCGAGATACCACTCTTACCTTACTTCATTCGCTTAGAACAAAGCTAATATTGGCACATTACATCTACACGTTCAAAGACCACATGCATGCGACCTGCGTCCCCAAGAACACTGATATTTGCCTTATTTACTGGAGAGTGAGGGCTACATACCTCCCTCCTATGGTCAATTTCGCACCTTTGCGACTCATGTAGACGTAATCCCTCGACCAGGAAACCACAGTCTTCTAGCTGTGATAATAGCGAATGTTTACCTTGAAACGATAGCCAGCTGCGCCGTTTATTCACAAACCCTTTACTTCAGAAAGGCAATGCAAGCCAAGTCAATAAGTGTCCGAGCTATTTCATCTTTTCATAGACTCGACTTCAGCCTGACAAAGGCACGTACAAAGCATGCCTTTGTATCTGTTCAGTCATCCGATCATTCGAGACCGATGGCAGATTATCTGTACAACGCTGATACCACACCATGGGCTCGTTATTCACGTTATTTCAATCCCACTCTAGCCATCTTCACTACTTCGCGTGATGCCTCGCAGATAATTCACGAATGAGACATTGGGAAGTATATAGACTCGCGATGTTTCGACCCATCAAAGCTATTCTCTTCTACATCATCACAGACCGTTCCAACATACTAGCATATCTCGATCTCCTACCACATCATACACCCATCTCACTACAAAATAATCCAACAGAGCAGCTTAACTCCGTCTTCTTCCATACCATACACTCAACTCACCGAAAACCAATACAACGAGACAAAATGCCTCAATCTTCATCGTCCACGAGACCCAAGATGAACCAAACCATCAGCATCAACGTCAAAGTAACGAACAGCAAGAACAACGATCCTCCTTCGCCCAACACCGATCCCCCTACTCCCCCAGCCAGCCCTCCCCTATGAACGGACTTTAGCAAGATCGCGTCTCACCATAGTTACCAGAGCTTCGATGCTCAACCAGTTTCTTAAGGCGGTCCAAGGCCAATAGAAAAGAAGCATGGTTCTGGCAGAAGTAGTCCACAGTCATCAGTAATACAAAGAATATCAGACACTAAATGTCCTCCTTCGGCCGCTACGATGTATACCACACCTCACTCCCTCACCTTGTCTTCCTCAGCATGCCCCCAAGAGTAGATATAACCTCCTCCGCCTTGCTTACCACAAGACTAACATGCCCCTCCCCCTCCATAAACCGCACCTCCGCCCCCGTCACACACTCAGCCGCCCGTTCCGCAAGACCAACCGGCACGTTGACATCCTCCCTCCCATGCCACCAAACCATCTCCCCAGGCCCGACCTCAGGCTCCCCAATCTCAAACCCCCAATGACTCCCCGCTAGCTTGACATCCCAAGCCGGCCCCCAGCCTCCAGGCACCACAGCATCCCGTACACTAGCAAGCATAGCAGACCGAACCCCGCCAAGATCCCTGTCAAACACATCCCGATCGACCTCTGGCCTCGACTTCAAGTCCTCCAGCACGATCCCCTCAAACCTCTCCGGCCGCGCCTCGTCTCGTGCCACCCTGCCCAACGACATCTCCATACCCCACGCCACGAGCGGCGTTAGCCACGGCGCTACAGTCAACATCACCCGCCCTTGAAGCAACATACCCGCGTACCCAAACTCAGGCGGAAACAACCCCGAACAAACCCCCGCCGCCACAAGCCTCTCGCGCGGGATGGCTTTCCAGCAGGCAAAGACGTACGGTGCTCCCCCTGATAGCCCCAAAACCCCGAACCTCGAGATGGCAAAGGAATCTGCAAAGGCGAGAACGTCGACAGGCCAGTCCACGATGCGCCTGTTGGGCTGGAAACTGGAGCCGGCGTGGCCTGGTCGATCGAGGGCGATGATTTGGACGCCGTGCCGGCGGGCGGCTTGGTGGAAGATTGAGGCTTCTTCGTGGCTGCTGGGGAAACCGTGGAAGTAGAATAGCACCGCCGCCGGACGCGGGGGTCGTTGGGTTTGGTGCGTGGGGGACGGGTTGGTGGTGGTGAATGTTTCTGCGCCGGCGCCGAAGACTGCGAAGCTTAGGGTGCGGCTATCTGGTAGTTGAAGTGTTCTTGTTTCGGCCCTTCTGTAGTTTGGGTCCATGTTTCTGCTGAGCCTGGTTGGTATGAGATTTTGGTTCTGGAGTCTCGTGTTCAACAATCATCAGGGAAGAGTGTCGCTGTTGATATTGATGTTCGCTGTCTGCTTTTTTCTCACGTTGGGTCCTTTTCCTTCCTCTGTTTCTTCCTGCAATAGTTTATTGTTGTCTTTGTAAGGTTCAAGAACACATTGAGGCGTCGGGTATCAAGCAATGTTATCACATGGCACTCTCGCGGAGGTCAACTCCGTCTGCGCAAGGCAGCAGCATCTTTCCATGAATCCCCGTCAATTCTCAGCTCACGACTCACCACCAGCTCCATATTCCTGTCCAGAGCACCCCGCCGGTCAAGGCGCGTGAGAACGCTGATGATCCTATCGAGTGGCGCAGCATTTTACCGAGATGATTGATGCCAGCCAAATTGCGCTTCTACTTTCACTAGAAAGCAGTGACACGACAGGCTATACAGCGTGCCAACAAAAGCTTCGATGGATACTGGCCCCGATAAGTAAATAACGTCCTTCCCATTGTTGCGACACATGTTTACAACCACGATGGGCTCGAGGATGAGTTATGATTGGGCAGTCTTGGAAATGTTCAGCCACTTGCCAGACAACATCAACATACCCCCGCTAGAGCCTAGGAGGCAGGAAAGTCAAATCATGATTCCTTGTCAAATGACAAAATAAATAACTCCAGCTCCGGACAAAGTAAGACTGCCGACGCCCCTCTCATAGCCATGTTCGCAAGTATGGTCAGCAAGACAGCCAAACATTCGAGGACCAAGGCGGATTTGTGATCCACAGAGGGCCGGAGGGATATTTGACGAAATCAACACGATACCCCGATACCCCGAGAAAACAAGCATAGGTCGAATCACTTCAGGATGCTCCAGGATGAATTGTCTTTTTGACCCCGGGGATCGGCAGCCGGCAGTCGGCGCGGGACGGAGTAGGTCGGCGATGTGAGTGGGACCGTGAGACGGGAGGGGCATCGGTTGTCGGCGATGGCGTGCGAGGAGCTACCGGGGGGGCTGGATGGGTAAGCTTCGTGTACGGAGTACCACGATCCGGATACCTCTCATGCCGTGGCACCTTTCTAGGATTCTTTTGTGATGGTTCGATGTGCGGCGTGGATGATGTGGTGACCAAGCAGTGGGGGTCAGTGGTCTGGCGGTTACGAGGGGTTGCTATTGACTGGATTGCACCATTGATCGCCGTTGGACGTTTTTTTTTTTTTTTTGCATGCCATTTCGATCTCTGCCCGATACGAAGAATCAACAGAGAGTAAGGTGGTTTGCTGAGCTATGCTTGAATATATCTCGGGCCTCACTTTTGTTGAAGAATATCTACGGCATCACAATGTGAGGTGACGGGCAGAGTGGACCGCACCCTCGAACTCCCAGATAAGAAACAATACCTTACACTACCTTGGGTATTACACCACACCCTGTAGCACTTCCTAGCGGGTTAGCCTCTGCAGATAGCGCCGTAAGGGTTCTCCCAAAGGGTCCAGTAGGCGTCTTCTTTAGGGGATGATTTCTCATGATGTGCCCTGAGCCAAGGATGATGTAATCGAGCACGCCATCGGGTCTAGCCGATTTCGGACTTGGAGGGGTAAAAAGTGACACCTGCAAGAGGGAAAAAATACAGCCCCTCCAACGCGGGGCAGAGTTGGAGACCGTCGTTGAGGGAACAACGTGCCAGTATTCGAGTGACACGGGTACAAAGACAGATTATCTTTGGGTAGATAGGATGCCGTTACCGAGGGGATTCTGTAGCTTTCTACGGGTTGCTAATGCCAATGCTTGGTGATGTGACGGTTCATTGGGCGAATGCTGAGAGTTGTAACAGAGCTGGACCGTGTAAGTTGCATGAGCTTGGCAAGTCGGCGACCATTTTGTCAACTGGAACAAGGTTATGCTATGATATCCAACGAACAAAAGAGAATGGGAAACTTCAGGATACAACCAAAGGGCGAGGAATAGGGAAACACTCCAATTTGGGTGCCGATAGCCAGAGTCAGGCATGGCGACTGAAAGGCAGTAAGGAGGGGACGAACTAAAGGTCGAGGTAGGTACCTTGGAGAACGGGACGGCAAGCTGAGGAAAAAAGTACAGAGGTACAGATACGGCCGGGCTTTGTACGTTGCTCTGGACTGTGTGTCCGGGGCGCGGCTTCGAGCTATATATTACACCTCGACTCCCACACCATCAGCTGCTGTCCACCCCCAACTCTGATTCCTTTTGCTCGTTGTTCTTGCAAATCGATACCCCTTCACACACCTCTTCTCACACTCGAAAAAGGAGACAGACACAATGGCTGACCAACGCCCCGCTCCGTAAGTTGTCAAACCCAACCTCAACCCCGCGCCGTGATACCCCCGCCGTGGCCGACGACGACGAGTCCGCCCGTTCACCCGTCTCTCGACAGTAATGCTAACATCACACCTTCACAGCCTCCGCCTCGGCACCGTCGCCCCCAACTTCAAGGCCGACACCACCAACGGCCCCATCGACTTCCACGACTTCATCGGCGACAGCTGGGTTGTCCTCTTCTCCCACCCGGAAGACTACACCCCCGTCTGCACCACCGAGCTCGGCGCCTTCGCCAAGCTCGAGCCCGACTTCTCCAAGCGCGGCGTCAAGCTCATCGGCCTCTCCGCAAACACCCTCGGCTCCCACGAGGGCTGGATCAAGGACATTGACGAGGTCACCGGCTCCAAGGTCGCCTTCCCCATCATCGCCGACAAGGAGCGCAAGGTCGCCCTCCTCTACGACATGCTCGACTACCAGGACACCACAAACGTCGACGAGAAGGGCATCGCCTTCACTATCCGCTCCGTCTTCATCATCGACCCCAAGAAGACCATCCGCACCATCCTCTCTTACCCGGCCTCCACCGGCCGCAACTCCGCCGAGGTTCTCCGCATCGTCGACTCCCTCCAGACCGGCGACAAGCACAAGATCACCACCCCCATCAACTGGGTCCCCGGCGACGACGTTATCGTTCACCCTTCCATCAAGACCGAGCAGGCCAAGGAGCTCTTCCCCGAGGTCCGCATCGTCAAGCCCTACCTGCGCTTCACCCCTTTACCCAAGGAGAAGGCCACCGTCGCCTAAGTACAGGTGCCAGTGGCCACGAGTGGAACTTGGTTTGGGGACGATTTGTTGGATAATGGGTCTCGCTCTTTGCTTCTTCAGTACCCGAGGGTCTGAAGAACGACCAGCAGACGAGATTCAAAGAATGTTGAAAAAGCAAAAAAGGGCCGATGCTGTCAAGCATAGGATAGGATACCGACTCCGTCCAACCTGGAGACGTGCATACAAGCACTCTCCGTCTGAATACCCGGCGTGGCGCTGCGAATGGCAACGTGACCCTTCGGTCCGCCTTCAATGGGCGTGATCTGGGCAAGTAGCAGCGTGTTCGCTCTGACTACCTTTTCTATAGAACGTATGAAATAATGAGAAACGTCCAAAATCCGTCCCTCGTCGCAATGTGACCGCAACGTGATGATCAGACAGCCATATAAGTAAACTCTTTCGTCGACCAATGATGTCTTTGAGTACCTAGACTTCTAGTGTTTCGAGCATCCATCGCGAGTAGGCTTGCAACTTCCAAGACACTCGGTCTCAATCATTAGGCGTACCGCGGGAACACTTTGGATACGGAAACCACATGGTTTAACGATCATAGCCATCACTCCGATCCTCCATCATGCCAAGACAAGCTGCGGAGAAGGCAGTATCGAGCTTGTTCGACTGCAACATTGTAGCAACTTGCCCTCGTGGCATCTTCTTCATGGCCTGCCTTAGAGAGGGGAATGCCAATGGATATGTAGCTCAAACAAGGCGTGGGACCGAGACGCGAAGGGGAGACGAAATGAGGTTTAGACACGCCCATCGTCGCACTTGTCCTTCATATCAAGCCCCAAAATGTAAGGACGTCGTAAGCGAAGCCGAGCCCGACAAGGCACATGGAGGTGGAGGCGCGTTATCGTACCACCGTTTGTCTCTCTGGAGATGACACCGGTATATAGCACATGGACCCGTGAATGAGTGATCGGCGGTCCGGCACGGAGGCACCGCTAATGAACTCCCAGGGGCTCGTTCCACGTTGACAACCGGCCTGCCTCGCGGGGGCCCTTTCAGCTCTTTGACCTATTGATCAGCTAGCCACGAGCGAAGCGGCCACTCTCCCCCGCCATCCCATGACTCGGCCGAACAGACACGGGCCAGACCGGAGGAAACGGTCGGTTCATTTCTCGGAAAACTACTCGGTAGAGGGGCGCTCAGCCGGCCATTACACGAAAAGGAGAACGCCCGCCTTATATTGACCTGACCATCTTGGAATGGTAGTAGCGCTCCTCAGCTAGAGTGAACCGGCTGCCTGGCTAGGACACATTTGGAGCGTTGGTCAAGATGCAACGGAGCAGGTGGCTTTCTTGGTTCGAGGGACCCAGACAGGCACAATCCTGGCTCGACACGAGGCAGAGGCCCAATCTTTGCACAAAAACGAGGCTGGAACAATTCGAGAACCAGGGGACAGCCGGGGAATGTTGAAACATCCGCATCCACCCAAAATGACAAGTGGCCGGGTTCCCACGTTTTCCCACGTCTTTGTAATGTGTAGCGTGTGCGGGTTGTTCTGTAGTGTACCATGGTCCATGTGTGTGAGCCGTGAGGGTGCGCCGCCGTCCGCGATCCGCCTGTCCAGTCATCAGTGTTCCCAAACTTCCAGGGCCATCGTCGGGTCGGCAGGGTGCCTATCCCGGGATTGCTCGCCTGAGACATGACAGGCCAGGCAATGTTTGTTTCCGACGAGGGGCAAGACACAAGACGCAAGGGGACTTGTTGCTGGATCTGTTAGTGTCACCGACGTGGTGCAGTTGCCAGTAATCAGTACTCCGTATGGGTAGGTATCCTGCCACCTGTATCCATATACGGAGTAGCGATACTATGTATTCCGTAGCGGAAGCTAGGCTGTAGGCTCCAGCCTCCAGCCTCCTGCTCTTCGTCGCCAACGGGGTCAATTTCGTCCTCAGTCCTCAGTTGGCCGGGGATGGACGCGGGCCGGAAAATTGTTCTAGGGTTAGGCAGAGCACCGAGAGCAGAGAGTGTAACTTGTATCCGTAAGATGACGGTAAGAGACGGGGGGAGAAAAAACCGAGAGCGGCACAGCAGACAGACGGCGTGGATGACAGGCCCAGAGGAGCGGTGACGACAAGGACCAGGACAGGGACCAGCCTCCCATGGCGATTACTGCTCGCCTGGTATCCGTATCCTCTGGTATCTTGCTGAGTTCCTGTGTATCATGATGTATTCCCAGGCCAAGCGCACAATCAACGCCATCAAAGCTTTCAAGCCGGATCAGTATCTTGATCCGTGGTACCTGTATGCATTCGAGTTGGAGGACAAATAGCGATACTTTTGGTGCCGCTTTCCCCTCCGTTTCGCAAGGGTGGGTTGGTGTAATAGGTAGTGTATCCATAGCGTGTGGGAATGTGGGATGTTGGAAGCTGGCACACGTTCTGTGGCTGCATGTGCAGCGTTTCTGCAAGATATAGTATGCCTGCGCCTAGCACCTGAGTACTGTAGACACACACACACACACACACACAAAGACCGGAAAAAAGGGTCCTCTTGCAGCTCGATCGTCTGATGTTTCTTCCCCTCCTGCTTCTCCTGCCGCTGCCGCAGGATTCCGATTGATGGTGCGTGGTCCGGCCTGCGGGACAAGAGGACCGGCGCGCAGTTGAGGCGGGCCCCTGACGTCGTACAGCGTAAGGCCAGTGTGGCAGCGCGAGATATAGGGCCCTGAGGTTCACATATCTAGACCAGAAGCGACGAGGGCCTTGACTGTACAGTTTGCTGGGGGTTGAAGTCCTGAAGACTGGAGATGGAATGTAGGTTCGAATATGGATGTGGTGAGGTGAGAAGGAAGGGACCCCGGGTGGTACACCTGAGGCTTACCTAAGGTACATATGGGAGGTCCCTGGGAGAGGGGGTCAGTGCGTAAGTGTTTGTCAATTTACCAGCAGAGCCGTCCGTTGGCTCTTTTTGAGTCTTGACAACTGAGAGTGAGAGTGTGACATGACCTCACTCACTCACCCACTCACTTGCTCACTCACTGGACGATCAGCCATTATGAGATGAGTTCACTCAGGTTGTGAGTTCAACGTGAGCACAGGGCAGGCTGGTATCTGTTCGAATGGTCACGGGTGAGAGATGGCATGCGGTCTAGGAAATAGGGCAAAGTATGAGAGTACGATGATGTTTATTCAGGATAGACTTGCCATGTAAGGCAAGGTGTGCTTTACTTCGTACAGAGTACGGATACCCATTCTCGAATCTCACAACACCTGGGCTGATATGACCGGCGGCGTGGACATCGGCAAGGATCGATTTTTCCCTCTCCTCCTTTTTCTTGACTTGCACGTCTTCACTTGGCATTTCTCACTCGCCCCTTTTCTCATACTCGAGTTTACCGGGTTATTTGTGTGTTTTCAAAGACTCGCAGAGTAATGCCTAGGCAAACAAAACCTGCGATATTTAAATACACAGTTGGTCTCTTGAAAGTGCATACGGATATCCGTACTCCGTACACCTACGTTTGCAAGGCAAGGCAAGGTATACGTAGGTGACCAATGGAACATTGCAAAAGGTTCGACTCCAGGCTCACCCAGATGAGACTATTCCGCACACGGCAATAATCGGCTCCCTCCCCCCTTCTCCCCAACCATTTTGATCAATCAAAGTTGCTCACTTCACTCTCTCTTTTTTCCGTTTCCCACCCCTCCCCCCCCCTTTTCTCTTCCTTCCCTCCCCTTTCCCCCTCCCTTTTCCCCCTCCCACTGCTCCCAAACCAATCCCAATCACTCCAAATCCCCATCAGGAGCCCCATTTCCCATGCTCTCTCTCTCTCTCTCTCTCCCTCTCCTAGGCACTCTCAGACCGCCAACACTGCCCCAGCTGTGAGCGCGCTACGCTGTCCTCTGTCAGCAAAGTCAGTGTCTGCCCTGCGCAATTGCTCACGTACGAATAGGTACCTAACCTGGTGCTGCAGAGAACTGGAGGGCACCTCAGTGGTACTGGCACTCACTGCACACCACCCACGACACCCACGTTGAAACATCGCCGTCTACCATACGGCACCACGGGTACTGCGGTACAACCACGAATACCTGCTTCCACTCCTCGCCTTGTCTCTACTCTGTTTCGTTTCGCATCTCGCATCGCCTGGCGCGCGCTCTCTCTCTCACTCTCGCACTCTCCTCTTGACTAGGTAGTCTGCAAATACAAGTCAGGCCAGACAGACTCCAGAGGAACCATCCATCATATCCATATCTCGTTGCTCCCACCTCCACCCGGGCACATCGACGACTCTTTCTGCACACTGCACCTCGCACACTACTCTCTCCGTACGAGTACATCTCGCATATTCCCCGCCGGCCTGCCTTACACATCGGCATCACCAGCAGCAGCAGTAGTCGCAGTCACAGTCACATTCCCCTGCTGCGGCCTTTCACACCTCCATCTTTCAAAAGCTCGAATCGGTCCACGGAACTTGCAGTACCTTCAAGTTACTTCAACCTCACAGGTTCGACCCGCCGTCCAGCCCACTTCTTCCTTCGCGTCCGCCTCGGAGCTCAAGCTGCTTTTCAACCCTCTGCCCGGTCCGTCTACCCAAAGTCAGTCTGTGCGCCCAAAACCAAACGAACGCCCCCCTCCACAACCTCTTCGAGTCCTCCCCGTGCGAAAAAGGACAAGTGAAAACCAAGACGCCTACAGCACACGCTTGTCCCTACATCGACAGTTTCTTCGCCCAAAAGAGCAGGCATCTGGAAATTAACGATTGCAACCTTGCTGGTGGTCCTCCGGCCGTTGCCGCCGCCCCTACTACTGTTCCTAGTCCTTCTTGGAATACTCCTCATCGTCGGACTTCGACTCCATACTTACGCGGATCCCTTTTCTCGGTCCCGTTACCTTTTCCACTTTGCCTCACGCGCCTGGTCATTTCGACACGGCACTGACTTGCTGGGTACACCGTCGTGACCGCCGTCCAACACACACGTCCCGTGCCTTGTTGCGACTCTACCGATACAGCGTTCTCTGTCGTCTCTGTACCGCGTGCGGAGGGATACCCTACAGTACCAGAGAACGACCCTCAATTCTTGCTGCTCACCGCACCTGAGTCGTCTCGAGACCGCTATCCCCGTCGCCCTCGCTGTCGCCGGTCGCTGTCTCCGTCGTCGTTATCGTCTTCGACGTTGATCCTTTTCTCTGCCTGCCGAGCGCGCGCCCTCGCTTGAATCTAAACCCCAAGACTTCGCCTCGCTTCCGACTCGTCTCGACACGACTTAACTCAACTCATTGACTTTTGACCCGATCGACTTCTTGGAGTCCCTGCGCCTCCCCTGATCCTAGGTGCGTATAGTTCGTACTCCGTACTACGTAAACTTCAAGCTCGTTGCCCTTCTCGTCCACTCCCCTCCCCTCTTATCCCATCCATGATCCCCATCCACATCCTGTGCCCATTTGTCCTCCACACCCTAGCCCACATCCCACTCTATCTCTTGTGCGCCGCTTCCTGTCAACTGTGGGGAGGAATAACGGACAAAAGAGAGAGAGAGAAAGTGAGAGAGAAACACGCACAAAAGAACGGAGCAGACAAGGCCTCGCTCCCTCTCAGCCCAGCCCAGTCCCAATCCCAGCCGAGCCCGGTCTAGCCCAGGAATCCACCCCGGAGACACAGACGCACAACACGCAAAGAGTGAAAGCCAGACAGACACTCAACCGGAGCCTACCCGTCATAAGTTACCAGGGGCCTAGCAGACCCGGATGAACAAGCGAACCTGGGTTGGGATTGCTTGACCTGGGGTTTCTGTTCGCTTCATCATCTACTCATTTTTGCATTTTCCCTTTCTTACCTTTTGGTTTCTGTTTCTTGGCCTTTCTTCTGGCTCTAGGATTGTCGTGTCTCGGTGTGCCCTCACTTCTTTACATCGAACCCCAAGAACGAGCCAGCTACTCTCTACACTTCCTCATCCCACCACTTCCTACCACGACTCCTCTTCTTGTCTGCTTCTTGCTTTCGCCTGTTCCAAATCTTGTGGCACAGGCCCCGAACGGATCTTGGCAACCTGGCGCAGAAGCAGCAGTTTCTGCAGAATACCACTACTCCGGAGCCCACCTTGCTTGACCGACTCGGTTCCCAAAACCCGCCCTACATGAAAAACAACTCAACCTCCTTTTGAGCCTCCGAGAGCTTTTCTTTTTCCCAACCCGCCGAGACTGTTTCTGTTGCGCATCGCTCTCCAGGCTGTACCCACAGCCTGGGGGCTGATTGTGTCGCAATGTCTGGCCCGGGACTAACCTCGAACCAGTCTTCCGCGCAGGGCGATCTCTCGCGTTTTTCCGATTCGGAGACAGAGCAGGACAGATCTCCTCCTACAACCAAAACGACCTCGGACATCCTCTCTGGCGTATATCGCGGCTTCAAAAAGTTCGCTCCGAGTAGAGACGGCGAATCGAGGCTGACAAGACAGCCGTCACTTTCTCGTCTGGGTCTGCACAGCGTCTCGCCAAGCTTGACCTCATCGCCCTCTCCGCCCACCTCGTCGACGCCGACGCCCGTTCCCAACTCGTCCAAGAATCGCCCGCCCCAGCTTCAGCATGGGAGGAGTCTGAGCCTACAGAGCAGTCTCGCCAAACCATTACCCGAACCGCCAGCGTCTCTTCCCTCTCCCACAGGGCCTGAAGCACCTCCCGCACACTACAATTTGGGGGGTCTCGGTGCCATCGAGGAAGCTCCGGCCGATGATATGTACAGTCGTACCAGTACGATGGACTCTAGCGCCTCAGCGGAACGAGCACAGATGTACAGCGGCGGATCAGGATACAGCGCCGACATGGCCAGCAGCCAGAGTAGCTTAGCAAGCTCTTCGCGACAAGATGGAGCCGACGAAAATAATAATAGGGAACCACCGAACTTGACTCCGCGGAGCAATGGTCCCTTGTCAGCAGGCCCTTCTCCATCTTCCAACCAGTCTTCCAACCAACAAAGAACACCCGCCTCGGCGGTCGGTACGCCCACTGCGTCTTCGTCCTCGGCGCATTTATCCGGCCTTATGTGCAACGTACATAGGACAACGGGTAGGGAACCGCATCCGCTTGTCGGAGCCACAACAACTATACTAGGGGATAAGCTTTATGTCTTTGGAGGAAGAATTTTGTCGCGGAGTCGCCCGGCTCCCCTGACATCCGATCTGTACGAGTTGGATCTGATCCGCAGACACTGGTCAAAGTTGGAAACCACGGGCGACATACCACCGCCTCGGTACTTCCACTCCATGTGTCCGCTAGGAGACACTAAGCTGGTATGCTATGGTGGCATGTCTCCTACGCCAAACCAAGCAAACGCAGGCCCGGATCAACAACCCGAGGTGACTGTCATGTCGGACATCTACATCTACGATGTTCCCACCCGAAAGTGGACCTACATTCCAACACAAGATCCTCCACAAGGACGCTACGCCCATTGCGCCTGCATATTGCCTTCTTCAGCATCGTTCGCCTCGCACAAGGCACCACTGTCGGCATTGCAGCACAACCCATCATCCGGCAATCCCAACGAAGGAAGAATAGGAATAAATATTGATGGAACGGGCGGTGCCGAAATGGTCGTGGTTGGTGGTCAGGATGGCGCGAACCACTACATTGAGCAAATTAGTGTTTTCAATCTTCGCAGCCTCAAATGGACCGCGATCGAACCTCTTGACAAGAGCTGCGGCGCATACCGAAGCGTCGTTGCTCCTTTACCACCGTCTGTTACGGCACGAATTGGGAAATCAAGCGTCAATGGATATCAACGGGAGGGTGGCATCAGCCAAGAAGCTCGGGAGCCTGGATCCTCAATGCTCATCTATTCCAACTACAACTTCCTAGACGTCAAGCTCGAACTACAAATCCGGTCTTCAGACGGCACCTTGACGGAGAAACCCATGTCAGGCTCTTACTCGCCTCCAGGACTTCGGTTTCCGAACGGCGGCGTCATCGATACTTACTTTGTCGTAAGCGGCACATATCTCACATCTTCTAAGCAGGAGTATGCGTTATGGGCTCTAGACCTCAAGACTCTAACCTGGTCACGCATTGATGCGGGAGGTGCTGTCTTTAGCCAAGGCAGTTGGAACCGTGGTGTGCTTTGGAACCGCAGGAACACGTTTGTGATTCTTGGCAACCGGAAGCGAAGTCTCGTCGATGACTATAACCATCGGCGTATCAACTTTTCCAATGTTTGCATGGTCGAGCTGGAAGCTTTTGGATTCTACGACAATCCGAGAAAGACGACGCCTATGTCTGGCTTCGTATCAGCTAGCAGTCCTTACACGAGCCCAGGATTGAGCTTGGCTAGAAAAGCAGGAACTACAGCCGGTGGGCGTTTCCACTCCAGGGCCGCCGAGGAGCTTGGCGAAAAGGCACTAGCGATGCGGGAGCTTTCCGACATGGACATCCTCTGCTTACACGGAGAGCGGATACCCATCAACTCTAGGATGGTGGCACGGCGATGGGGCCCGTACTTTGTGCAGCTGTTGCGTGAAGGAACAGCAACTCAGGATGGTAGCGATGCCATGACTCTTCGATCTGGAGTCAACAACCCCATCAGGAACTCCGCTCTTACAATCACCCCATCCCGTAACACGGCCGAAAGCTCAACTTCCATGGCCAGCACCGTGCTTTCATCTGGATCCTCGGCAAAGGCCCCGAGTACGGCTCCGACCAGCGCCTCGGCAGCCTCTTTCTCGCTACCGGGCTCTGCTGGCGGTGTCGATCCCGCTACGGTCAACTCGGCCCCGACCCCGAGGTCTTTACCACCGAACTCGCGGCCTCGATGCCTGTACCTTCCTCATACCTATCTCACTGTACAGGCCCTGCTGCACTTCCTCTACACGTCCTCACTGCCGCCTCCATCATCGCCTTTGTGTACGCCTCCCATACTTTGCTCACTTTTGCAAATCTCCCGCCCATACCGGATCGACGGGCTTCTCGAGGCGGTAGTCGAACGCTTACACGCCCTCCTGGACTCAAGAAACGCAGCCGCCGTCTTCAACGCGACCGCCATGGCCGCCGGCGGTGGCCGCGGCATCGACGGCTCCCTGAACCCCAACTTCTTCACACCCTTGGACGCCATGGGTTCTCCACTGTTCTCCTCGGAAGAGTCCCAGAACGGCGGCAGCGGCATAGACGGACTCTCTTCGCGCACCGCGGCGCTGCGCATCAACACCGCAATGCCCTCCGGCCGACCCTCGAGCGACGAGCTCAGCGCTACGACGAGCGTCAGCGGCTCCGAATGGAGCTCCGAGATTGGCGACTCGGAGCGTGGTGGTATGCGTGAGGTTTGGGGTGGCGAGCTCAGCTCCGTTATTGGCCTGCAAAAGCGAGGATTGCGAGGTCTCATGGAGGGTAGGAGAATGCGTGAGCGCACGGGGACGAACTCGGGTGGGAGTATGAGCGCAGGCGTGGGACCGTATAGTGGTGGCGGTGGGGGGCAAGGCCGCGTTGGCCTCGGAATTGCTGGGCCATGAAAGGGAGGATGTGACTCAGAATAAGAGAATTTGGAGAGATGAAGAGAGGAGCATGGGGCGCGGAAGTAATGAATTTATGATAGCATGGCCAAATGCAGCAGATTCCCCCAGGCGAAAGATGGTAGTCGAGGTTGTGGGTGACGGCAATGAGGTGAAAAGAGTCGTACAATGTGATATCCTGTTCCTTCTCAGCGCTCAAGGAAAGAGGGATGTATTATGCCCTGAGTATACGAAGCTATGTACGCGAAACTCCTGGTAGGCCAACCAGGCCGACCTAGGATATCTAACCTTCGTCCATGGAAGAAACCAAAACGCCTGTTCATGAGCCTCCTTCTCGGAAGCAACGAATTCGCAAAGCCTCGTGCTTGTATATCTTCTCCCACTGCCTCATCCTCGTATCGTATGGGTATACGACTGACTCATCCCGAAAAGGGACAGGCACCGCGGCCGCGACAGCGGAGCATCTCAACTCCCTCAGCCAACTCAGCGGAACCCTTGCCCATCTTCTCCTTGGGACCAATGTCCTCAACGAGAAAGCCGTTCGGCATCATCTTTTCTGAGCTGGGGACGGTACCCCCGAGGAGACGGGTGATCAGCGCGACGGGGCCCCAGCGGTTCCAGAAGGTGGCGGGGATGTAGTATGGGTGAACAAGGTAGTCGTGGTGCAGGATGCGGCCCGTCTTGGGATCCGGGTCGGAGAAGAAGATGACGGGGGAGAAGCGGGGGAGCATCAAGTGGCGGACGAAGAAGCGGCGGGCGACGAGGGCGGCGTAGGCCGTGAAGGAGGCGACGATGCCTGGTTCCGGGAAGCTGTGATGGGTACACAATTGTTAGTTGGCTCCACCGGGAGAAAGGGGGGAAACAGCCGGAAAGAACACTCACCAGAATGTATCACGAACACGTTCTCCCATGAGGACAGTCAAAACCTCTTTCGCAAACGGCTTAGCAAAGCCCGGAACGTGCCAGAGAAGCATTCGTGTCAGCTGGGCGCCAGCGCGAATGTTGGTTCCCGCGGGCTTCATGGCCTCGATCTCGTAGCGCTTGGCCCACGCGGTGATGTCGTTGACGAATTCGATGCCGTCAGCCCAAGAGTCCTGGGTGAGGTAGCCCTTGTACTGGATATCCATGGCGTCGCCGATGGACTTCCAGTGGGTTCCGATGGCGCAGACCTCCATGTCGGTGAGGTCGCGCCACTCGTAGAAGCGCATGAAGTGGATGGGCTCCGTGACGCAGACGGCGAGGGTGTACAGAAAATCGGCATTGGAGATTTGGTTACGGGCCTTGTAGCTGCTATGGAGAAAGTTCATGCGGGAGATGGCTTTGAGGGCGCGGTCCGAGGTTGGAGGGTTCATGGAGAATCTGGGAGACTATTGTCAGATGGGAGTTGGAGGTTTCAGGGGGGTAGTTCAACGTACTCGCCAAAGATGATGGTTGTGTCCTCGTATCTGGAAAGATTTGTCAGTTACCTTGGCCGACACTTGAAGCTGAGAGTGTCTAAACACGATATGCCCTGCTCTTGATGGGTGTCTCACCTCTTCTGCGCATTCTCCGGATCGGCCAGGTTCTTGGTGGCAACGATGAGCTTGGATACGGTCTCGAAGCCATAAGTCTGTGCTTTGAAGTCAGCAGCTGAATATGAATACTACATCATGGACCAATAGGGTGGATATACCTTGAAGATGGCGAACTGGAGTGAAAGCAGGTAGAACTTGGGAAACTCATACTCGATGAGGTGCTTGAGAATGAGCTGGGCATCAATGTTGCTCATGCCGGCAAGAGAAGCACGGTCAGTGTAGCCCATGCGTTTTTGTAGGCCATTGATGCGTCTAAAGCGTAGAGAGGCACACAACATGAGCCAGGCCAAAATGAAAGCTCCCATGATCGAAGTGGTTGGCCATGACAAGAGGATATTATCGCTCATGCCGATGGATGTGCCGCGTCCAGTTTGGACTGAGTGGGTGAAGTTGGATGTGTCAGAATCCATTTTGGAGATGACAGTGTTTGGAGTAAATCGGTCTGATGTTCTGCGGTCCTATATTCTTGCGATCCTGCGATCTTTTGGTACTGCGATCCTTCGGTTCTGTGGTCCCGAGGTCCTGCGATCCTAAGCTGGGAAGGGGCTAGGGCGAGTGTAATAGGTGCAAGTGACTGTTCCCTAGTAGGCCGTTAAAGACTAAATTGTGACTTGACTGTTAATCCATGTGAGCTCACTGACTGATGAGTATGATTATTGTATGGTGTGAGAAGTGAAGCCAGGGTAGTTTGGATGTAGGAGGGAAAAGAGAAATGGAAGAGGGGCTGTTGTTTGTGTTCAAGGCAGGTAACACGTGTGATGGGTCAGAAAAGTCGCTCTTACCCTCTATGAGTCTCTCACAGTCCTGGGTGTTTGTCTGGGTAGACTATGAGAATCGCGATTGTTGGAATTAAGAAGGCGATGTGAATGAGGCAAAAGCGATATGAAACTACAAATGCCTGAGACTGTAGAAAGGCAAGAAAAGATGAGGAGAAAGCGGTCATCAGCAGACAACTAGTGGCCACCAAAGTCCCTTTCTATCCCCCCCAGCTACCTGAGGCGTAGATGCTGACAAGGGAAGGTCAGGATTGAACTGGGTGAGATAGAACGAACGTCGGATAAGGAGGCACGGAAGGTGGTAGGTTAATAGTTGGAGTAAGCACCGGGCAGGTTGCAGGTTGAAGTGCAGGAAAGAAGGTGTGAACAGGGGTCTCCCCTTATCGGTTTAATCTGCCCAGGTTTCGCCTTGTAGAAAACTGCCGTCTGTGAGGTGGAATGGAAGGAATGAAGAGGACGGGGTATGGGATTTAATAGAATGCTTGTTTCCCCCAATACCTTCTCTTTGACTTTGACTTGGTCTGTTGTCTTGGCTTTCCGTTGCAGATTTGGAGGGGTAATTTTCATCTTTTATTTCTCAATTCTGGCAAGCTGACAGCGGCAGCCACGAGTCTTTTGCCCCGTCTGCTAGGCAATCTAGCAATGGCTTTTCCTCATCCGACAACAAAGAACCAAGGTCTAGAATCCGCTACACCAGCTATCATCATTATAGCTAAAACGCCTCAGGAGCCCACATGGAACTACAGTGAGGCAACGTGGTGTATTGCATTTTCTTTGAGAGCCAGTTGCTTAGAACTTGGAAGCGAAGGAAGCCCCCTCCTATGGTGCCTCGATCCTGATGTAAGCCACCTCCCAAGCCATGCCTTGTCAGGGTTTGCTTGCCAGGTACGGAGTACAGATAGGCAGTTGAAGAGTGCTGCCGCGAATCGTCATTGGACACAGCTGACAGAAGGAGAACCCATTTGGCGGCTTGGAGGATCATCGTTAGCAGGGACACTATTCGTGCCCCGCGCACTTGGAGAAGCCTGCTAAATGGACCGTGCTCAAGCTATTGGTAGCCCGGCCGGCGTTCCTCTGCCAGTTTGCCACCGGCAATTCGATGCTCTGAGCCTCTGACCCACAGGCTGCGTGGGCAGAAGTCGGCCAAAATTGAATACCTCTTACTTGCGAACCAAAGCCTCATACACATGGTCGTGGCGTGGGATACGCGTCAACGGTAAATCCGAACCACAATCCAATTCCTTAGCGCCATAGCCATCCGTGATCTTGAAAAGATTAGAGTGAATGATTCCGTACTGCCCTTACGATATGGTGATGAATCAAGACTCTGCAGGTGATTCAGCCATCAAAATGGAGAGCGGCGCAAGGCGTTCTTCATACTATCACCAACTTCTGTCATAAGATAGGCCAAAAATTGGCGTCTAACATACAGCTCTGTCGGCTGTGAGGAGATGGGTCCGAGCACAAACGAAGACAAAGGGTCATTCTAAACATCTTTTCATCTGCGACCAAAGACATGTGGAAGACGACATTGCAGCGGCCTACTATCTATAGTATGACTGGGCCATAACTAGGGCTTCACTGCCCTCCGGGTATCGAGTCGAGTGACTGATTCTACATAGCGTGCGGATCGGTAGAAAGCACAAACTTGGCGTTTCCGGCGTCATTCGGGTCAACCTTGGGTCACGAGAGAAACAAGCGCTCGGCTGCGGAGGTTGCTTTGCAGATGCGGCCTTCTACCAAGGGCTGTTTGACATTAATGAAGTGCATAGAGCCCCGGTGATGTGTTGGTTCTACAGGCGATGGAGAGAGAAAGAGAGGGATAAATGGAGACTGGCGAGGGGAGCCGTAGACTCTTCGCTTCGCTTCTATCCAGACTACGAATGCAAACTAAGGTAGTGTAATACTAGGAAATGCTTTGCGTGACACTGCAGCAAACGTTCGAGGAAGAGGAGAGAGACGGGAGCTATACCGGCGAGGAAACGTATCTCTGTGGAGAAACACCGGCCCGCTGTGGATTCGAAAGCAAAAGAGGCTAGCGTGATGCTATTTCCACTCCTGGCCAGTTAAAGCTCCGGCGTCCACTCAACGAGGTCCACTGGTAATGAACCGCCCCACTCTGTACTCCAGGCGCGCGTCTAATTAACCTTCAATCTCAATGTTGCTGCTTTCCCATACCCACTAACCTTACCTTTCCACCTCATGTTATCAACATTCGACACTCTCTCACTTACACTGGGGCTCGAGTCTCGCTCGCTGTCCAGCCCATGGTAGTAGGAATTCAGACATCCAACTTCAGGGAAACCAAGTGGTTCATGCTAGAGTCTATACTCATTCGTCCACGCGCTCTACGAGATCTCCATCTAGTTTCCTGTTGCTCATGCCAGGTACTCGAACGAAGCTGAGCTGCCCGCCCGCTTCGCTTCGCTTCACGACGCGTCTGCTGGCCCCATCTTCGTCGATCGGGCTGCAGATCGGACCCCAGACCCAGTAATCCCTTGCTACCGTTACGTTCAAGTATCCGCATTCAGCGGCAGGCTATAGGTCACTTGGTCTTGACCGTCTTTACTTAGTTCATCTACGACATTGCCCACCTTGCCCACCTACCGCGCGCTCACAATGCAATGCGCCTATCCTTCCTCATCTCCCGTCTACCGCCTCATTGGCTCCTCCACCGCGGCCGTGGGGGCTGCGGACCGATCCAACAACTCTATACAGTCTAGCAGTAGACATTCAACGCTGCCGCCGTCGGCTGCTCGCTACCCTTCTCTCAGGGAGTCGGGACTTTGTCCGACCCCACCCATGTCGTGGCATGATCCAGCCCTAACACGGCCGATAACCTTCTCCAAATGGGAATTGTCGAGCGCGGCAAGGCTGGCGCCTACTCTTACCCACTACCTCTACCGGTCTCAAATCCTCCTTCCAGCCCCAGTCTCTTCCCGTTTGAGCCCTATTGCTCCCTTCTTCGGGACCCCGGCGACCCGTCCGATCATGCCCCAGGGTTTATTGTAGCCGCCCTCCAGACCCGGCCAGTTCTACGCGCCCACTTCAGACTGACGCCCATCCCGATGAGACGTCTGGCCAATGTCTGTGGCTCTAGGACTCGTCGTCTGTCCCTCTGGACACACGAGACGGGTTTCATGGGAGCTCTGGCAGCTCGTTCGGTCTTCTTCTGTCAAGTTGCCCTGTTTCAGACTTCCATGATCCTGGTCCCATCGTAACCGCGCTTCTGTGTCTCTTTGTCTCCCCGGTTGGCCGTGATATTGCTTAAAGTCTGGCCCAATGTCCGGCTTCTCGACCTCCTTTTGACCTTGTATTCGCTTGTCAAGACAGTTCTCTCCATCTCACAACAGTTTTCCTTTTTTCCTCTATCTCCTATTTCCTTTTCTCGTCATAGTCATCATATTTCCTAAATCGGATTTTCTAGATTCCTTCAGTCCGTCAATCTCCTTTCGCTCCATTCTGCCGCCCTACAACCACTACCGACCTTTTCCATAAACCACCTCCAGGCGAGGCGCAGAATCATCATCAACATAACGGGACACTCGCTTCTTTTCTTGCAGGATAATCAGTAATCTGCACGTCTTCACTATATACCGGGCGACTCTTCTTTTTTCTTTTTTTTTCTTCAACATCTACTTTCCCCCGAGTTATCATGCCCAAACACACGCGGGCATCCAGTTCGAGTCACAACCACAACCGTTACAGCAACCCGATGCCAATTTCTCTCGCTCCCGCAGCAAACCCAATCGCAATGTACAACCAACGCATGGCCATGCCGCAGACGGCCTACTACACCTTGCCGTCCTCTTCGGCCCCCATGCAGCAACAGCCGCAGCCCACGTACGAAAGCTACGCCCCGGTGTCTGCGCCCCCGGTTTCCGTGCCTCCGATGCAACACCGCGCCTCTTCGGGAGCCTGGACCCCGCAGGATGATCAGCAGCTGCTCGCGGCCCGCGCCCAGGGCCTCAACTGGAGCCAGATCCAGACCACCTACTTCCCCAACAAGACTCCCAACGCCTGTAGAAAGCGCCATGAGCGCCTGATGGAGCGCAAGGGGGCCGACGACTGGGACAACCGCAAGCTTGAACGCCTGGCCAAGGAGTACATGAGCATGAGAAAGGAGATCTGGTCCGGTCTTGCTGCTCGCACGGGAGAGAAGTGGAACGTCGTCGAGGCCAAGGTACGAGAGACCCTACAATGACATAACATCAAATGATGGGAGAGATGACCCTGGCTAACCTCACACCGGTGTATAGTGCATGTCGAACGGTCTCAAGAACCTACAAAGCGCGGCCCGCGCCGGGGCCAGACGGGAGCGCCTGGAGTCAGGGCAGCCACTACCACCAGGGTATGACGATGACAGCGGCATCAGCGGCCTCGGGTTAACCCCAGTTGACGAGCTAGACGCGTCCTACAGTAGCCCGGAGACCGTCTCCTCCGGACACTCCGCCAGCGGCAGCAGCGCCTCAGCCGCGGGCTACATGGCCTCCCTGCACCACCTCCAGCCCATGCACGCAGCGCAGTACGGCGGCTACGGCCACGCCACCGGCGCCCACCACGGATACACCAGCTCCGTCTCCTCGAACGGCTCCGTCAACGGCGGATACGGCGGCCACGGCCAGTCTCAGTCTCCCAGCCCGTACCTTCACCCCCACGGTCAGCGATTGCCGAGCGTGGATATGGGCATCGACGCCATCATCAACCGACCTGGCGGCAGCCACCAGCAGCAACCCATGTGACTGCATGGCTCCAACAATGAGTCCTCTCAGTGGTCCTAAGTCCCAAGTCCTTGGCTCCTAGGGGTTGAGGATTCCTCACCTTTTCTTTTTCATTCTCCTTATAGGTCATGGCGTTGTCTTGCAGGTTTTCAGGAGGCGTTTTTGGTGTGGCATGGGTATTCAAATTCACCTAAAGATAGGCTTCTGTTTTCGACTTTAGTAAGAAACTTGGGCACTCTTTTCAAGTTATCTTCCTTTTTGCGGGATGGATGAGCAGCACAAAGGGAGCCATCTTTTGCTTCCGCATAATGACGAACGAACTACCAGAACAGCACCTGGGATGGAAGGGAGGTTTTGTGATATTTGTTTTCGATCTTGTATACTAGCATCTATAGAGATACCAGAGGAGAGAGACCAGGTTGAGACAAAAAGGAGGGAGAGGAACCTAGGAAACCGCCAATGGAATGCTTTTTAAACTTGAAAAAAACAAAGGAAATCATCATTTTGAAGAAATACACCCGCGCTTTTCCGTCTTCCCGTATGGAGCAAACATTGGATTTACAGAGAAAGGTGTTTATATCTTTGAACCCGGAAATCTAAGACCGGAGCACCACTATGGGTATTGATGGTTCCCCCCCAACGAGGCAAACGAGCAACACTATCATACAATATCCCGAGTTCTCTACTACAAAACCACACGCCAGCCGCATCACCTATCCCGCGGCACAGGCAACGTAACCGGCATCTCATCCAGCTCATCATCATCCTCCCACTCATCGTCATCATCCACGCCAACAACGCTATTCCACACCCGGCTCCACATACCCTTCTTCTGCAGCAGCGCCAACACCATGACAACAGGCAAATGCCACACGCTCGCCCAGAACAGACCCCGCGCAGACCCCTTATGTCCCTCGTACTTCCAGAACCGCACCGCCTCGCGCGTAAGCCACGCGTTGACGGGCAAACTCGTCACGGCAAAACTCCACTCCGTCACGCCCGCGGCGCAGAGCCCGACGCAGATGGGAATGAAGGCGATGCTATACCGCAGCGCGACGCGCGCGTTGCGCGCAGGGTTCGTCCACGCCAGCATCCGCAGGCCGGCGGCTTTATACTCTTCCCGGATGGACCACGAGAGCGCCATGAAGTGGGGGAACTGCCACGCGAAGAGCAAGCTCGCCATGAGCCAACCGCCGATGGAGCTGCCGTCGCTGGCGAAGAGCAGTTCCCGCCAGGACCCGTCGCCCGAGGCCGTCTCGCCCGCGGCGGCGGCCCAGCCCATGAGAGGGGGGATGCCGCCTACGACGGCGCCTAGCCAGGTATTTGCGGCGCTGAAGGCTTTCATGGGGGTGTACATGCCCGCGTAGATGAAGATGTTTGCGCCGCCGAGGAAGGCGACGGTCGGGTTGACGCCGAAATACAAGGCGCCTACGCCCGTGACGGCGGTGGTGACGGCGAAGAGGACGGCGGCGCGCGTGGAGAGGAGGTTCCTGACGAGGGGCCGGTTCCGCGTGCGCGACATCTTGGCGTCGGTCTTGGGCTCGTAGAGCATGTTCAGAGAGTTTGCCGAGGCGGAGCAAAGAGCCGTGCCGGTGGTGAGGAAGAGGAGCGTCAGCGGGCTCAGGGAGGGGGACTCGGTGATGGCCGGGGAGAGGAAGTCGGTGACGGGGTATAGGGCGTAAGGGGCCATCGCGGTGAGGACGACGAGGGCGGACAGCCGGGGTTTCGAGAGGGAGAGGAGGGTGGAGAAGATGCGGCGGGCCGAGTGGGCGGGTTGTTGAGCGGCGACGCTGGTGAGGGCGGAGGAGGCATCCTGAGAAGGGAGGACGTCGGGGGAGGAGGAGGATGCGGCGGCGGCTGCTTCGGCGGCGGCTTTGCGTCTTGCGGCTTGGCGGCGGCGATGCGGCAGATCATGGTTCACGTCAATTGGTGTCGTCGACTCGGAGCGCGCGGTGGAGGAGGAGGAAGACGAAGACGAGGGCGCCACGGAGGCGGAAGAGCTTCTGCTGCCGAGGGGTCGGGGCCGGGCATTCGTGCGGTCGAGGACGCTATTGGAGAGGAAGTAGCTCGCGCTGAGACGCACTGCGGGTGCTGCCTTTGCAGCCGTCGTCGAGGCGGCCCGGCTCGTGATCAATGGCAGAGAGCTGATGGTGTTGCGGCTGCTACTGCCGGCCCCCGCGCCAAAGGTTTTCCGGACGCATTGACGACAGACATTATCGAGTCGGTGAGGGCGCAAGAGCGAGGTGGAAGCTGGCCGCATTATTGTTGCTCTGCTCTGCGCTCATGTCGGCCTGGGCGAGGAAGAAGCCGGTCGGCGGCGCGGCGCGGCGGGGATGTTTCGCGGGACTGCTCTGTCTCTTTCTCTCTCAAACGCGGACCATTCGGAGGAAGGACGAGGCGTGTTCGAGGGAACCTGAGACGGAGAGGGGTATGACGCGCAGGCGAGAGAGGAGCGATTGGTCCGCTGCTTGGTATCGGTAGGGATTGAGCGGGTTCGTGGACCGAGATTGGGGAGCGTCGGTTTGCGCGGAGAGTGAAAAGAGGGTGGACTGAGAATTGGCAGAGGTTGAAAGACGTAGGAGATCGAGAATCAGCCGGGCGACGGAGATGGATGGGCTCTCGAAATTGTTTAGCCAATCAAGTGGCGGCTGTTGGTGGGAAGAAAAAAAGGTGCCCCACCAGGGCCGGCCGCCTGTCGGCTCCGCGACTCCGCATGCCCGGTGACCCGGTGCATCTCGGCCTCGGCCGCCCGTCTTTTTATTTTTCCGAAGTTAAGGTACGATGACTTCCATCCCTGGACTTGATCATAGTAAAAAGTCCCCCGCCATTGCAACACCCCACAAATGGTTAGTTGAGATGTGTAGCATCAAGTTGCAAAGCTGGACTCGTTCCGCTTGCTGCCCGTACCATTCCTATTCAGCCGGTGCAGATCATTGCTTGGTCTAGTTCTCACTGGCCTCTTTAGGGTCGCACTGGACAGGAAGTGCCAAAAGCAGGCTCGTAATAATCTGGGCCATACCTTCGGCTGTATTGGGTTGGGCATAATAACAGAGCTACTAGATAGTAGCCGGCGGGGAAGTTGACGGTAGTTGAGTAAGCTTAATGATGCGCCGCATGGCTCGCCTGGGGTTGACTTCAGCAGTCTCGTGAGCATGCATTGCCGGCTAATTTGAGGCTCTTTGGAAACAACCGTCATTATCCAAATGATGTACACCAGATGAGAGCGACATAGGTTCCGAATTAAGTACTCCCAGACATCCGTTGATCCGAATCATGCTGAGCATAAGAGGAGATCGTCTCGAGGAACAAGTCATCTCATCCTCTCTGAAGCTCGTCTCATCCGCAGCACCACGAGCCTTCTCTAAACCCAAGATCATCTCTCTCTATATACCATCATGGCTGTACGCGCCTCACTCCTCCTCCTCCTCGCCGGCACGGCCCTAGCCATGCCCGCCGACACACTTTCTATCCGACAAGCCGACTGCGGCAAAGCAAAGACAAACATCCCAGCCGTCAACGACGCAAAGCTCCCAGACCCCTTCACCTTCGCCGACGGCTCCAAAGTCACCACGAAAGCAGACTGGGCCTGCCGCGCCACCGAGATCCAAAACGCCATGGAGCAGTACGAGCTCGGAGACTTCCCCCCGCCCCCGGATAAAGTCGAGGCCTCCCTCTCCGGCAACACCCTCACCGTCAAAGTCACCGTCGGCACAAAGAGCATCAGCATGACCGCCTCCGTCACCAAACCCTCTGGCACGGGGCCCTTCCCCGCCATCATCGGCGTCGGCGGCGCAAGCATCCCCATCCCCGGAACCGTAGCGCAAATCACCTTTGGCAACGACGCCTTCGCCGCCCAGAATGGCCAGGCCAGCAGAGGTCAAGGCCTTTTCTACACCCTCTTCGGCCAGCAACACAGCGCGGGCGCCCTGACGGCGTGGGCGTGGGGCGTAGGCCGCCTCATCGACGGCCTTGAGCAGCTCGGCGACGCCAAAACAGGCATCGACACAAAGAGGCTAGGCGTGACGGGCTGCTCGCGCAACGGCAAGGGCGCCTTCGTCGTCGGCGCGCTGGAGAAGCGCATCGCCCTCACCATCCCCCAAGAATCGGGCTCGGGCGGCGCGGCGTGCTGGCGCATCTCGGATAGCGAAAAGGCCAAAGGGAAAAACATTCAAACATCAAGCCAGATCGTCGGGGAGAACGTCTGGTTCTCGCCCCTGTTCAACACGTGGGCGACGAGGTCGTCGCAGGTGCCCGAGGACCATCACCTGCTGGCCGGGCTCGTTGCGCCGCGCGGGCTGTATGTGGCGGAGAACGATATCGACTGGTTGGGCCCCGTGTCGACGACGGGCTGTATGAAGGCCGGAAGGCTCATTTATCAGGCTCTCGGGGTGCCGGAGAATATGGGGTTCTCGCTGGTCGGCGGGCATAACCATTGCCAGTTCCCGAGCGGGCAGAATGCCGAGTTGACGCAGTATATAAACTACTTTTTGCTCAACTCCGCGACCAAGCCGTCCATCCTCGAGCGCAGCACTGTTAATGTCAGCGTCAAGGATTATGCTACATGGTCGGCGCCGACGCTGACTTGAAGAAGAAGAAGAAGAAGAAGAAGACCGGTGTGTCGGAGAAGTCGTGGATTCCATTGGGAGTGAAGCGCAAAGGGCATTCGGGGAGAAATTGTTGTTGAGGGGCGGAAGATCGGACAGATTCCGTTTTGAATGGGTCATGATTTCAAGACCTGCGTAGCAAGAAATTGAATGATTTGCATGTGCGTAGTAACACAGCATGCAAAAGCAATTATGGGCATTACGTTACCTTGAAGCATGTGAAGATGAGGCTCTTTACACTGCACCTCAATCAACGGTGATGCCATGGGCAGAAACCTCGGCAAGGCGATTTGACGCGCCACAATCCGCGCAAGTCTGTCTGTGCCTGTCACTTCATATGAAATGTCACAATCACGTTGAGAAGATGGGTCGATTCAACGGTATTGGACGTCTTTGACTGTAGCTTGATCTCCAACGAACCAATCAGCATCGTGATTTTCCCAGGGGTTTGCTGCTCACGCTACCAATTCCCATCAAGTCTGCCCGGTGTCTTTGGAGATACTTTTAACCATATCCCGAGGCGGCGGCGGGCTTTCAGATGTAAGCGTTTTAGTAAGAGTTCCAATGGCTCTTCCTCAGCAATTTGGACGAAAAGACGGAGGCAAAACTCGGAGAAAAGAAACAGGGGGGACAACCCCAAGGCGAACGGCAGGTTTGCGATTCGTTTCGTCATCCAATCCACCGCCGGTCCATCCCTCCATCCCCTGCCTTAGCTCGCGGGTCGCCTACAGCGTTTTGTACCGCGTGATTCGGACGATCCCCAACGAAATCTGAACATCACGCGAAAGAAGGACTGGACTCTTGGGACTAGTTTTGTTCTTCACTTCAAGCCCAGGGCCGAGGAACTAATGCTCTGTTTACATCTACACATGGCCATTTTCCCTGTTTCCTCTTTCGTTTGTCTTTTGATAGATAAGAAACCGGTACAGCATCATTTTTACACTCACAGCGACGAGCAATCGCCAGCCTCTCATTTCATGCCCATCACCACCACTACTGCCAAGCATTGAAAATCACAACACCAACACCAGCCCAACATGCTCGGGCGCACGCTTCACGAGTACATCTTCATACGTGCCTGCATAATCCCCCTCCGATACCCAATCATCCCCTACGCAGCCCTCCTCTCCGCATGCCTCCTCGGCGCAAACTACACAACCTCCCCCTCGAAATGGGTCACAACCGCCGCCGTCGTAACATGCATGGCGGCCACGGAACTCATCTACGCCCTCTTCATCTGGCTCCCCTACACAAAGCGCCTCCGGGAACCAGCCTCGCACCCGAGCCCTTCCTCGCCCGCCGATCGCCTGGCCCTCTTTGAGCGGTGCATGGCCACCATCCCCGACTTTGAGCGCTACGTCCGCATGTGGTTTCTGGGCGCAGACATGGCCGACATTCACCGCGACAACGTCCGCGACTTCCTCCTCTGGGCCTTTTTCGACATGGGCGAAAGGGACGTCGAGCAGGCCAGCGCCAGGGACGGGGAGAACTACGACGTGGAGGTGAACCAGTATATCACGCGCAGTGAACGTTTGCTCGGCAAGCCCTTTAAACCCGGTCGCGGCCCGGCAAAGTGCCTGCGCCTGACGATCGATTCCGTAGATACAAAGTACCGCACCGTCTGGTGGTACGCCATCATGGCCTTCCTGGACCACGTCACACACCTGTCCTTGTGGTTCTACGGGTTTCAGTACTACGCTCAGCCGAGGGATAAGGCCATCTTTCCACCTCGTCTACAACAGGTGTTTGCCAGCCAGCGGTCCTCGGCCGGGAATTTAAGCTACTGGCACCGCCCCCATCGCGGGGAAGGTCTGCCGGTCGTCTTCCTCCATGGCATCGGCATCGGGTTGTGGCCCTATGTCCGCTTCCTTGCTGAGATCACCACCATGGGGATAAGAGGTCGCGGCCAGACAGGCGTCATCGCCATCGAAATCCTGCCCGTCTCCTTCCGACTGACTGACCCGCCGCTCGGTAAGGAGGTCTTTCTTCAACAGTTCAAGCAGATAGTAAACCATCACGCCTGGGACAAGTTCACCCTCGTCTCCCATTCGTACGGTTCCATCTTGTCGACCCATGCCATGCGATGCCCAGACCTGCAGGCCAGGATCCCGCGGGCCGTGCTCATTGACCCCGTGAGCATCCTCCTGCACCTGCCCGACGTCGCTTACAACTTCACACGACGTGCGCCATCGACCGCAAACGAGTGGCAGCTGTGGTATTTTGCGAGCATGGACCCCGGGGTCGCCCACTGCCTCGGCAGATACTTTTTTTGGAGGGAAAACGCCATCTGGGCTGACGAACTGGTTGGTCGCACAGCAGGATCGGAATCGGCGGGCGTCGAGCGGCAGGAAGCGAGGCAGGTCACCGTATGCCTGTCCGGACTGGACCTGATTGTCGACAGCCACGCTGTCGCCAGGTATTTGGCCGAAGGTGGTCAGGGCCAGCAGGCGGGACACCCCGCATGGTTGCAAGGCGAGCATGGCCGGCGTAACGTTGCCGGACCAAAGGCTGGACCCATACCGGGCATGGGTTATGAGAGTCACCGTTCCGCTGGGTCAGGCATCGACATCCTTTGGTTCCCAGACAAGGACCACGCGCAGGTCTTTGATTCTCCCAGGGCTATAGCGCGAATCGTGGGTGCCATATGGGGTGATGATGAAGCAAGGTAGAGATGCTCGATAGACATCATGATATTGGCGGAATCCCACCGGGAAAGCGACAGTTCACTTTTGCCCTGCAAAGTTAATCTTTTCGAGTGGTGTATGATATAATGCTTCTCCTGCTGCCACACATCGAGCAAGCGGTCAGTCACCACGAGTTGGAGTCCGTCTCCACGACCGAGCGATGGGATATGGGTTACTTCGCCCGGTCACCTCCCCAATCCGTCAAGCCTACCGTAACCGGCTGGGAACCGCTGCGAGTAATGACCCACACGGTATCTTGATCCGACTCATTTAGTAGTTGGTGCTCCGTCCAGGACGGAATGAAGGCAAAGTCACCCGAAGACAGTTCGTGCCGCTTGACATCTTGCCCTGCACCGGGGCTCACTAGCAGGATGCC